TTACATTTTACGGCCGGTTCATATGACAACCTACTAAATATCCTTCAAATATATTTTATTTATTGTTTATGCTTTGTAACTGCCGGGTTCGATATGGCAACAACTTAGGTCAAATAAACACACAAATCTGCCAACTTTGCAATCGCTTTGCACAGCTTAGGGCAATTCTGTGCAGACTGTTTTTTCATTGAAAATACGAACATATTTTAATTTTTTCTATAAACTTGACTTTTTACAATAATTATTCGACATCGAAGTAGCAAATATTACACGAAAATTGCAATTTGTGTGGCAACCGACCCACCCCCAAAAGACACTGCAGTTTTCTAAGGTTGTCTCCCATGCAAGTACTAAGCACGACCGATTGAGCTTTACTTTTGTGATTGGTGATCGGACTTTGTTTTTAAATTCTACATCTTTCAGGAGCCAACACGACATTCAAACGGCCGTTTACAAGACATTTATTCATTCTTAACTATAAGTCACCTAACTTATAAGTCTAGATAATGTAACAATATAAGTAACATTATTGTGCAAGCTATAAACAAATTTTCTAATAGCAATATTGAGTAGGAAAGATATAGCAATCTTCTATGCAAAACCATACTCTGCATATGTAGTCGTGGTATCATTGAAACGCGTTTCATTTCCTTCTGTAATGTGGTCTTTACAGGGCATTTGGAGATTATGAATATGATAGTATACCTGTTATTAAAATGGTTTGTTTTAAATAACTAATGAGTTCAATTGACCAAACTATCATTTATAACTTATGTACAAGAGAATAGGACACTGGCTCACATATGCTAATTTCTGTGACATACTACAGCTGAGCATCATGAATAAAAGTAGTCATGTCTTCATAAAGTTTATCTCCGGAAAATACATATTTGCAAATTTGAGTAATTATTTAACAATATTGGGAATTATGTACGTAAATCATTGGCAGAATTGCGTTCTCTCGTCATAGGATATGAATCTAGCTCCATATACATACAAACCTATATAGACAAAAATCCGATAAAGTACAATCCAAAGTCAAACCTACTAAACAAATATGACAGGTAGTTTCCAAAAACTCAAAAATATCATTTATTACCAAAAATCCCAAAACGTTTATAATATACACTTATCCCAAGGATCAATTGTACCAGAATTCAACTGGACATGCTCTATGGTTCTCTCTGAGTAGTTCCATATTAAAATCAGATTCAACACATATTTTGTTCAAACTTTCAGGCCCGAGTATTACAGCAATTTAGGCACTAGCCATTAATTTAAATTTGATATCACAATACATCAACAGGTACATTCATGCATATAAATACACATAAATAGAGCATTCATTTGAACATTAGAACCGCTAGATCACTATTAAAATCAGTGGCAATACTCCTCAATGCTCGAGGAATAGTCCTAGGCAGACCTAAGGTGAGCCAACTGTAATTCAATCATAAATATAAATTGGAAAACATCAAAGCTTTACTAAATAAGGCAATATCTGAGGGAACGAGGCAAAATGGTAAATGGGGAAGAGAATTTACAACAGTTAAAAAACGTTCCAGGCCAAAGACTAGGGTGACTAATAGTAGTTTAGAACAGGTGTTGTATAAGGTAGTACCTATAATACCGTGTTTAAGGGAAGATTTTTTATTAGAGCAAGACTAAACTTAATTCACCTTACTGACTGAACCTGCTGATATTGGATGCCTTCCAAAAGTTAGCAATAGAACGTCTATGTGGGATATTGGACCTTATACATCTTAGAAGTGTGAAAGGCTGATGGTTGCCTAGCTACCATTTCAGACAACCATTTCTATGGACTATATATAAACTACTATATATTTTTACACGGGTCCTAAGCTGTGAATTGCCAATATTGCGACGAGGTTAGCACATACTGAATAAATTTGAATGTTTTTTTTATAAAGGAGCTTATAATATAGAACTATGAAAGTTACTGGATGAGCGCTATTTAGTTGATTCTGATATTATTCATCAAGAGGGGATTGTATGTGCTGGTTCTGATGCCATGTTAAATCAAGCCCACTCCTATAACAAGAAAACAGAAGTATATATTTATGATGTCCAATCACTGACACTTTTCATTTCATTTTGACAGTGATTTCGTGAAATTGAAAAACTGCAAGACGGCTAATATGATAGAATGTTCATAGCCTTCTTAGCAACTTTTACCCCATGAAAATGTGAGCATTGTGGTGATATTCTCCTCAGAATGAATGAAAGCAACATATTGCATCACACTTTTTTTGTAGTGATTAACAGTGTCCCAGGTTTTATGTCGCAAATATCGCCACATGTCAGTTTCACACAAATCCTTTGTGATTTCATCTTGAAGTAGTCTGCTAACTTATGAAACAGGAGAATTTTTAAATCCAGTATATTCAAAGCTTGACAACTTTGCCAGAATATCTACTGTTGCAGGATTTATTTAATAAAATACTTTAAACTGAGCAGTATGTATAGGTTGTAGGTTTGTTTGGGACTTTATGAATAAATGAATAATTATATGAGTGATATATTGGACACCGTGTTAATCAATATTTTGATTTATGTTTTCTAATTTGATAATTTACTGGATTTTACAGAGAAAATATGATGGGCGATACATGTCAAGTAGGGTAAAGTTAACAAAGTATTATATCCAGAAATGTAATAATATATACAAGGTAGTTTAATATTGATAAATCACAGAGAAAATTCGCCAACTATAACTTATCATAACTTAAAATCCCGTGCATATTCTGTCTCATTAAAACTAAATCATAGAGGAGCTTTGTAAGATCCAAATAACTTCTGAAAAATGAAAATAAATACTGAAAACAATACAAGCGAAGCGACCCGCAAGTCACAAAGATTGATGAACATAGCAGATGATTAAATTTAATACACAAAAACAAAAAAAGGATTTTTTAATTATATGTATTATACAGGCCAGCTACATCCGGGAAATTTCTGTGGCTCGATATTTCAAATAATCCTACACCTACTGATTTCTACTGGTACATACAATACACACCGTCTCACCTTATCGCCTCCTACCTTACCAATAGAGATCTATTAAACAGGCAGCAACATCCAGATTAAACGGTAAGTTGGCTGTTTCAGAAAGCTGCCAATAAAGTGGTTTTTCGTTGAACATTGCATGCCAGGTCAGACAACCACATAAAGTATCTCTGTGATAATTTTAGATACCATCTATTTGTTTTCACTATTTTTGTACAACGAATTTGGGTCATACTTATAACGTTTGTTAACTGATTTGTCTTAAGGGGAAATTTCTAAAAAAATAATTATTCATTAAATCAGTGTATGTCCGTTAACAACAATGCATATATGGCAATGTATTCATCTCAAAGACACCATTTATGGTAATTGGAAAACAAATGTGTATTTTTAGGATGTCCAGTCACTGCCACTTGTCATTTGATTTTCACAAGGATTTCGTGAAATTGGGAAACTGTGCCTCGAAATCTTGTTTGATTTTTCGAAGGAACGGCGTAATGTTGATGTATTTTTTATGTTACAAAAGTAGTATATTTTGTAATTTGTGTTCATTAGGAAGACGAATTCAGTGGCGGCGGCACAGGGGCAGATGGGCAATGTTGGGGGCAACGCCCTCCAAAATCAAACACATGCCATTTGTATCAGCCATAATTGCCTCTCAATATGCAGAAAATCGCGTTTCAGAGGCTCTATATTGCATCATCCTGGTGCAACACTATCAACAAACTAATAAGATGATTAACAGCTATACTGTACAATCATTTAGGTTCAGTACATTCCAGGGGTTAACACATTACATTTCTGACAGTTTATCACATGTTCAATTCCAGCGTTTCAGACTCATGACACACTAGCAGCTGAGCCAAGTGTCTCCCCATCTAACGAAATAGGCTTTCATGCTATTGAATTTTGCAGAACCCTCAACAACTCAACAATTGTTAACATGTGTCTCCTTATTTCCGATAGTTTAATATTTTCTTCATAATTCATTGTTGTTAATACTATACTCTACTTATGCTATATCTTCTTAGGTGTTGACCATGCCTGTGTCAGGCTCAGACCTCGACATATAACAATAACGTTAACATCGTTTATTTACATTATTTTGAACACACATTGTAAAGCTTTTTAGCTCTATTTTTCTCATGAGGTTTGTAATATTTTGTACTTCCTTCAAGTAAAATTTGTGTATGGTATGCCTCCCCATTGTTGCCTAATAAAGGTAATGTTTCGGGATACATATCTTGTTTTTTCTAGTCATAATCGTGCAATTAAGCATTCCTTAAACACCCCTAGAATCATTTTGTTTAAATTGAAATACAAAATAATAGTACACATATGCGCGTCGGTATATATTTTGATTCGTTGACTGCTGACTTACAAACAGTTACTTATGTCCCCAAACAAGACCAAAAGACGTTTTCAACCATTTTAATGCTCTTGAACGATTTATTTCTAATTTTATATTGATATCGCGCCTGATAGGCCAATGATTCACATGATTTTCTCACTATTTGTTTCAAATGGTAAATTGGCAGCCATTTTGTTTTATTTTAAAATGTGTCCTGCTCAGATTCATTTTCATCAATATATAATTAATTTTATATTCTTTTTGATGACATTTGCTGTTGTCATTTCTTTCATTCCTCTCCCACATCACTTTGCTGCCACACTTCTATGGAAAGACGTAATTAGCTTAACTTCACAATGTGTGCCTGGTAATAATTTCTTGTAAACTAATTAAAATTAATAGTGTTAATACTTAAAATTAACAACTGTGGAAATAGAAACAACTGTGGAAATGAGTTTCTCAACTATAATACATACAAACACACACAGATGGATTGCGTGTGAAGACAAACTGTATGTTTATAAAACTATTTTTGCTGTGGTTTTCCAATCTAGAAATAATGTTTTCAAAATACCTAGTCATCACCATCGCAACTGCCTCCAGTGCCGCATTTCTCTTAGTAATGTATCTTAGAAAGAAGACAACATCTTTGTCATCAGTGAAGTTTGGGGCAGAGATTAGAGAAAAAGAGTTCTACTTAGATAGCGATATTGTGCATTGTAACCATGGTTCATATGGCACTGTGCCAAGAAGAGTTTTGGCAGTAAAGCAAAGGTTGGTGACAATAGTCAAAAAATTAACACGAGATACATTACATTTATGCATATACATAGATCAGTGTGTAGAGTAATCACGGAAATCATCATCATTTACGTCAATTAATGTACAATCGAATGAAATACGGACTTCAATACTAAGAAGGGATATTAGATGTTTGAAAATACGTGAACATATCCTGAACTACCGGTAGCACCCACCATATACCAATCTACATAGTCAATTCATTAAGGAATCTTGTACATAACAAATGGTGCTGAAAAATGCCTAAGTGACTTATTTTGCCACGAGTTAATGATGTCTGGCATAAAAACGTTTGAATGTCGGGACACTCTCTTAAATAAAATAACTTAGCTGTGTCGTTTTTCGAAGTCATCATATTCAGTGTAAGCTCTAAAATATGAAAAGACCATTTATGTTACAGACGTAAAAATAAACCAATCGTGACTCCTGAACCAAAGTCGTATATTGTAATTCAGTCCAGAAATATAAAACGACTGACAAGTACACTACAATATCAAATCAGTAAAAAGAGAAGGATATATGTATTTAATGTAGTTTACATGCAGTGATGTTATGACTGAAGTCATCAAGTGGTTTCTATATACCTTTAAAAACACTAGATACAAGTATGCTACCAGATGAATAAGATCAACATTCATCACAGGAGTGAGGTAGACGTGTACTTAGCAACTAAACCAATGTCCTTAGCAACCGAGAAAATGCATATAGCAACCAAAATTATAACCAAAAATAAAAAAAATTGTCTGTCTAAAATTTATATTGAAAATGCAGCTCTGTAGCTACATACTTTACTCTAGTTCTTGGTTATTTGCAGCTATGTGTAAAAACTGTAGTTATTTTCCTAGCAAACACGTATTCGTATCTTCATATCTTGTGAAATAAAGTAAATTTAGATGACGTCTATTTGTTTTGATATCAATTGCAACGAAGTAAATAGGTAATATCATTGCTGTTAATGACATTTCGATCGTGATGTCGTATTCATCATAATACTCATAATACATTATAGACAATGCCATAGAACCCTTAATTAATCTTACATAAACATTTGTTTTTTGTTTTTTGAAATTTCAGATTTGAGGTTGATGCAGAGAAGTGTCCAGACGCCTTCATTCTAAACCATACTTCAGTACACTACAATGCAGCAAGGGCAGCAGTGGCACAATTCGTTGGCTCTAATAAGGAGAATATAGTGTTTGTAGAGAACGTCACTACCGGTATACGTGCGTTAATTTGAATATTCCATAAAAGATATGATAGAAATACAACTTCAGCCACTTATACAAGTACTTATTCTTAATAATATAATACCTCGATAATATAATATTGTATTAATATATCTTTTTAATCACCTTTAACATACACTTCAAAATTCTTTTTGGCTCAACCTACATAAGAAAGCTGCAGAAACTTTGGAAAAAAATGTTTTTTATATAACCGTTTGGTCTGATTTTAGTTATCTATTCCATGGTAACCGTGTTCAGCCCACTCTGCTCTCAGATACTTCTTGAATATTTATCTTTCATTTAAGTTAATAAGTCAAGTATAAAAAAATACATAAAAATTGGCAAATTGGAAATAAACAATACTTCCAAAAAACATCCACCAAATGATTATTTCTTGTTTCAGTTTCTCTGCATTTCATGGAAATCGTTCATAGCCCTCAGCCCCCAGAAATATAACCAATTTGTTCTTGTGTCTAGGGCAATCCTTCCTGTTTATCACGTTTTGAGATACCAACAAAATATTATTTCCTAAATTGTTTTTCCATAGCAAACACAGGAATTAAGTTTTTGAGTAATAGAAACTCAAGTTTGTATGTGAACCAGATTCAGATCTCTTGAAAATTCTATTCGGTTTGTCTTGAACATTCCATGAAAATTCGTTCCTAACTCGAGTTATCCTGCTGACAGGCAGAAAGATAGAAAAACCAAATTACAGACCAATGCCAGCAAAAAGCAAGAATACCATTATATATAGGACAGATTTATTGCTTTATACATGATATATGACAGATAATTTTGGGCGTGTAGAAGATTATATGGAACACATGGTATCATTAGTATATGTCTCGAACACGTTCATTGGTTCATATATAAAACACATTCATTCGTATAAACACATTATTTGGTTTATATGTGGAACACATCCATTGGTTCATATATGTATATATGTGAAGCACATTTACTGGTTTATAAATGGAACATATTCATTGTTATATATGGTGTCGATTTGTTGGTTTATATGTAGAAAACATTCATTGGTATATATGTGGAGCACATGTATTGGTTTGCATATTTGGA